ACACAAACTAATCCTTAAAATGTATTTTCATTCCACTGAGTGCTTTTACCTGTCACATCTCATCTGCAGTGATCATTCATCAGTTTAGGTGTCTGCCGTTTTCTCTCTGTTCTCTCTATCCAAAACATGCTTTTTTTTGTTTTTTATTATGTTTTATGCACCTGCAAGTTTGTGTGCAAATTGTGTTTCAACATGTATTTGCAGGGACAATACAGTGGAAGAGAAAGGAGTTGGATCCTTTACTTAAGTACAAACGTGAAAGATGACTTTTCAAGTTTGTTAAGGGCAGTGCAGGGCACTCTCTTTCCTGTAGTGTGTTATAGCTTTCTGTTCATGTTAATGGACTGCAAAGGCTAAAATCCCAAGTTCCCAGAGTTTCTCTCCCTTCTGTTGCCTGAAACGCCTCCATTGTGTCAGGGTTGGGGAAAAATAGGACCCAAATGCAGAATGAGGAGGGAAGCAGGTTTCAAAATGGAACAAAAGGCGAGCTTTATTCACAAAAGCTGAAAAAACAAGAATCCATGAACAGGTACAAGGCACGAGGTAGCATCCAAACAAAAAGGGACTGTGACCAACATGAAGGGAGACATGAACGACAAATAATGAACCAACACTGAACACAGGAAGAGACAAGACTAAATACAGGGAGGGGTAATCACGAGACGAGAAACAGCCGGGCAGGGGAGGAGAAACACAAGGGCAACAGGTATGGAGCTATTTCAGGGTCATAAGTTTTGATCATTCAAAAAAATACAATTTATTTGAAAGTTCAAGTTTTTATCCTGAACTTTGAAAAATACAATGATGTATTCAAAATAAAAATAAGTATTTGAAATCATTTTTCAGGTTGAATATTATTTTGATTCAGTTCAGCAATTTTTTTTTGAATAAAATATTTATTTTCAGATTTCACTTTTATACATATTTTGATATTTGAATCCTTATTTTTTTCAGTTGCAGATTTTTCGTTTTCAGATTCAAAACAATATTTTTTTTCAGTTTCAAATCTTGTTTTTTCAGGTTTCACATTGCTTTTCACCTTCAGATCGTTTTTCACTTTCAGATTTTTTTTTTTCGCTTTCAGATCTTTTTTTTTCGCTTTCAGACTTTTGGCCCTGATGTTGCTTGGGGGGGCGGGGCTTACCAAAGAGTAGTTTGGCTTCCTGAGTGACAGGCCTCCCTCTGTCATGTTGCCTTCATGGATGTTAGGAAGCGCGAGAAAACGTGAAATCTGAAAATAAATATTTTATTCCAAAAAATTGCTGAACTGAATCAAAATAATATTCAACCTGAAAAATGATTTCAAATACTTATTTTTATTTTGAATACATCATTGTATTTTTCAAAGTTGAGGATAAAAACTTGAACTTTCAAATAAATTGTATTTTTTTGAATGATCAAAACTTATGACCCTGAAATAGCTCCATAAACAGGTGAACACAATCAGACAATTAGACACACCAGGGAAACTAACGACAGGGAGGACAGAACAGCAAAAATAACCCCAAAACTAGACACACACAAACTCAAACCCTGACATAACCCCCCCCTCAAGGGACGGATTCCAGACGTCCCTTCACAAAGTCAAACATTTCAAACTGGGTGGGTGGAGGGGGTCCGGAGGAAGGGTCTGGAACAACAGCCCAGGAAAGGCATAGTTCACTGAGGGGTTCTCGGGCGGACGGCCCGGGGGCAAGGCAGAGTCCATGGAGGGGGTCTCGGGCGGACGGCCCGGGGGCAAGGCAGAGTTCATAAAGGGGCGAAGGCCACAGCGGGCGAACTCAGGGGGCCGAGCATGAGGGCGAAGGCAGCGGCTGGAAGAGTCAGGGGGCCAGGCTCGAGGGCGAAGAAGGCGGCGACGGGAAAACTCCGGAGGACGGGCAGGTAGGCGCTGACAGGATAGCTCCGGAGACCGGGCCAGACCCGGTGTCGGCTGGACAGGAACCGGAGCCGGTGGGACAGGCGCAGACGAGATCCTGGACATGACATGGGCTGGTGTCAATGGGACCCCGGATGGAGCAAGGGCTGGTGTCGATTGGACCACCAACGCAACAGGGCAAGGAGTAGGCAGGACCCCCGGCGGGACAGGTGTCGGCAGGATCCCCCACGGAAGAGGACAAGGAGTTGGCAGGACCCCCGGCGAGACAGGTGACGACGGGACCTCCAACGGAACAGGACATGGGGTTGTCAGAACTCTCAGCAGAAACCCCAACGACACAGGACATGGAGTTGGCAGGACCCCGACGAAACAGGTGTCGGCTAGACCTCCAACGGCACCGGACATAGGGTTGGAAGGACCCCCGGCAGAACAGTAGTCGGCGGGGCCTCCAACGGCACAGGACATAGGGTTGGAAGGACCCCCGGCAGAACAGTAGTCGGCGGGGCCTCCAACGGCACAGGACATAGGGATGGCAGGACCCCCGGCAGAACAGTAGTCGGCGGGATCTCCAACGGCACAGGACATAGGGTTGGCAGGACCCCCGGCAGAAGAGTAGTCGGCGGGACCCCCAACGGGACAGGACATGGAGTTGGCAGGACCTCCAGCAGAACCTCCAACGGCACAGGACATAGGGTTGGCAGGACCCCCGGCAGAAGAGTAGTCGGCTACTGGGGCCGGTACTAAAGCCGGAACCATGGCTGCTGGGGCCAGTTCTGGAGCCGGAACCATGGCTGTTGGGCATGGAACAGAAGCCTGGACCCTGGCTGTGTGAGCCAGGTAATGGAGCACGGAAGCATAGCTGTGTGGGCTGGTACTGGTGCACGGATCCATGGCTTTGCGGGCCGGTTCTGGAGCCGGAACCATGGCTGCTGGGGCCGGAAACATGGCTGCAGGGGCTCGGGCTGGTAGCCTGGACCTGGGTCTCCTTCTCTTAGGAGCCTTTTGGAGGCCCCGTGGACCTCCAAAAGCCAGACGAGACCCAAGGCATTCTCGAAAGAAGCTATGTTGGGAACTGTGGCAGGCAGGGGGCTAGCAGGCCGGGAAACACATGTCTGGAGGAAGTTCATAATCCAGCCAGGTAAGAACTTCACTAACCCTGGTTTCTCTGTTGCCCTCTGGTACGCCTCTGCCAGGGCAGCCCTCATTTGCTCCGCACTGGTTGCTCCCCTCCATTCACCATAGCTGCAAGCCAGCAAGTAGGTAAATGAATACAATTCCACTTCAAAGGGATCATCTGCTGGGTCCATATGAGGTTGGTTCATTCTGTCAGGGTTGGGGAATAATAGGACCCAAATGCAGAATGAGGAGGGAAGCAGGTTTCAAAATGGAACAAAAGGCGAGCTTTATTCACAAAAGCTGAAAAAACAAGAATCCATGAACAGGTACAAGGCACGAGGTAGCATCCAAACAAAAAGGGACTGTGACCAACATGAAGGGAGACATGAACGACAAATAATGAACCAACACTGAACACAGGAAGAGACAAGACTAAATACAGGGAGGGGTAATCACGAGACGAGAAACAGCCGGGCAGGGGAGGAGAAACACAAGGGCAACAGGTGAACACAATCAGACAATTAGACACACCAGGGAAACTAACTACAGGGAGGACAGAACAGCAAAATAAACCCAAAACTAGACACACAAAAACTCAAACCCTGACACATTGGACTCCTTTGTTTACTTTCGTAACACAATGACATCACCATGTAACACTTGCGCTTCCATTGGCTATTGCTCCACCACATTGTGCGTGATAGGCTAAGGGGCCGGATATCTCTAAGCGGTTGACCAATCACAACAGATCCGGCCAGCGAACCAATCAGAGCAGACTGGGCTCTGGTTTCAGACAGAGGGTGAAAAGAGGTGCTGCAGCACAGGCAGTAGGAGAAAAATAAAGACCTTTTTGAACATTAAAGCATGGAAACATGTTACAGTAGAGGAACAAAATACAAATATTAATCTGAAAATGAGCATAATATATCCTCTTTAACTCTAAAAATATTGAATTATAGGGGAATTAAAAGTATTACAGTAAGTTCATATTAAGTAGAAGTCATGACATTAGGAACATATACTTCAAGTTATATATATATATATATATATATATATATAACTAGTGGATGCTTTTGTGAATGTAAGTTATCTAATTAATTATTATATTAGTATTTATTATTTTCATTTTAGTGGAGGTCATGTCTCATAATACACTTGTGATAATTTGTCTTAATATCCACTATCAATGACTTGCTGTGGGACATGTTGAAGTTAAATCATACAGCCCAGCCACACTTATTTGCCCTATAATTTCCTTTTTTTGAACTTGAATTGCTTTGGATGAATTAAACAAACATACATTGATGCCATGGATGCTTTTTAAATGACATTGCGGGTGATCTAATGCAGACTGACTGTGGAATGTCCTCTGGCTTTAACTTTGTTTCAACTCTCTCCACTGGAGGACACTGTGGTGTTGGTGTTTGACTAAGCAACACAAGGACTTTCTACCTTTCTGTATAGGTAGTGGCTTTTATAATTAATTGTAGGAATTAAAAATACAGAAGCAATATGAAGGGTTTTAAAAGGGAAACTAAATATAGCATCAGTGATTAAAAAAAGTATTCAATAGTCTCCACTTGGTGAAACAGTGACATGGAGAAATTGTTTTAATCTAAACATGAGGCTAATGGATATTATCGGCTCATTAACACCAGTTTCTCTGTCCACTGGTTGGCTTTCTGTTAATGAATCCAAACACAGCTTCCTCTGTTATCCTGTCTGTCTGAAATCCATCGAGGGACAGAAGCAGTCATCTGAATTGATCTCAAGTAATTGGAGGCTGAGGGAAGAGAAGTCATGGAGCATGAAAACAGATCCAACAACTGTTAGCAAGTATAAGAGCACAAACACCCCAACTACTTCAGGAGAGAGGGATCAGGGACAAGGTCCACTTCAGATGTTCCTAGCTTTGACTGTTCTCAGGTAGGTGGTGTACATTTCTGCAATGAGTTTGTTCTGATATCATTTTAAATACACTTGGTTTATTGTACTATTCCTGCAGGAATGCCATCGGAGGAGTTGGTCCGAGGGGTGCTCTACTTGTCCCTCACCATTGTGGGAGTCCCAGGTAATGCTAGCGTCATCCTGGCATTCCTCCTCTTGCTCTACCAGGAGAACCGCCTCCTCCCAGCTGATGCCATCGTCCTGCACCTGGCCTGCGTCAACCTGCTGGTGGTGGTGGTCCGCTGTCTGCTGGAGACCCTGGCCTCCTTCAGCCTGGCCAACATTTTTGGAGACCTAGGCTGCAAATCTGTCATCTTCGTGTACAGAACATCCCGTTCCCTCTCAATCTGGATCACCTTCCTCCTGAGTGCCTACCAGTGCCTGAGCATCACCCCCCCCCGGCTCACACTGGGCCTCCGTCCGCACCTTGTTTGCCCGCTATCTGGGCTTTGTGTTCCTCTTCCTCTGGGTGCTCAACACCTGCATGAGCTCGGCAGCCATTCTCTTCTCATTTGGCACCAAAAATGAGTCCAGCCCAATAATCCATGGCATCAACGTACAATTCTGCTATGTAAACTTTCCTTCAAAGTTGTCCAAAGAGGCAAACGGGATAGCTCAGGTGGTCCGGGATGTGGTGCCCATGGCCCTCATGACTCTGGCCAGTCTGATCCTCCTGGTGTTCCTTTACAAGCACAGCCACCAGGTGAAGGGGCTCCGCAGCAGCAGCGGTGGGGGGGGAGGTGCCGAGCAAAGAGCTGCCAAAGTTGTGGTAGCACTTGTGAGCTTGTATGTGGTTCTTTATGGGGTGGATAATGGGCTTTGGGTGTATACTCTCACTGTGAGCAAGACCATGCCTTCCTCGCTGATCTCTGACCTGCGCATATTCTTCTCCTCGCTCTATGCAGCGCTAAGCCCCGTGGTCATTATTGCCTCCAACAGGAAGGTGAATGGCAGGCTGAAGTGTATAGTGCAGAAGAAGCCTGCTCATGAGAAAGACACGAGTCTTACCAATATGTGATGCATGCTGGGATTACTGACAGGTCAGCAGAGGAGGCCAACATGATGAGGATCAGTCTTTAAGTGTGTCATTCTATATATATTGTGTAATGTGTTTGTGATAGAGAGATCTATCTTTCCTGTGGGGTTGTGATTTCATAGCTGAGAAGTTTTTATAAAAATATATGTATTTCTTGTTCGTGAGACTTTCCAGATATGTGTTTAATAACTGATGAGGGTTTAGCACATGTAGCTGTGAATGAGAAAGTGTACCTGTGGGTTTATTGTCTCACTGTCTATGATTAAGGAAAAAACATGTCATAACAACACTGTTGCTCAATACAGGTCTGTATGAATTCTGGCACTGTGTGTCTTTGTTTGTTTATTCATTATGTTCTCTCCATCTTAATTTGCTGGAAGAATTATAGCTGGGTGACGCAGAGCTCAATGTAGCTGTCAAATGACTTCCAGCTGCCCATTTAGCAGCAATTAAGACTTTGAATGGAATCTGCTAATACTAATGAGGAAGGTTAATTGTCCAACAGAGAATTGGTTTAGAACCTGATGGGACAACTATATTCCTTATAGCAAAGAATAGATGTTCATTACCTAAGATGAATCACTCAATACAATTCTGAGATGTATGTCTGAGCTATTTGGGTGTAGTTATAGAAAGAAAACACTTAAGGGTCACAAAACGATGTCTTGGCACACACCCTGAAGAAGTTTGCAGTGGATGTGGCAATGTGGGAATTTAGGAGTGATTATGTAATTGCTATGTCTTGGAGAAAGCAAGGGCAGGGAGACAGGGTGAGGACATAACAACCGCAGTGACTGACATTCCAACAGACATAAAGTGGGGCTGCCAGCACTCTGTGATCCTGCAATAACTCCAAAGTGCAATCAGTGCAGCGCTTTTCAACTGCTGTCGCAATGTAGGTGAGGAGGAGAAGTCCTCTTTTCTGTGCTTGTGCAGAACTGTGGCATTTAACACCAGGTTGACACAAAAATATATCAAAGAACATACAATGAAGTTGATCTTCTGTCATATACACCTTTATTTGAAAAGTTTCAACCAATAAAACCTTCTTTAATGTGACGTTGTTCTTAGGAAAACTCTCTCCAGGTGATATATTCCATGTGTTTTACTCTTCAAACCACAGAAATCTGATTGGCACTTTACACAGACTCCGGTGGAATGAAGGATAGAATACATGGATGGTTTCATTAGAGCAGCGAGCATGCTGGAGCCTCCGGAGCGAAGTCTCTGGGAGTGATATCGCTGATACGGCTGATCCTATCCAGGCTTTCAACTATGTCATTTTTTGTCCTGTTGGGAAATAATTTTGAGATGAGTTAAAAGGATAAAATACATGAAAAACAGGTTATGTGTATGTTTGCGTCTCTTTCTAAGTGTGCCTGAGTGGAGGGTGTGCCCGGCCGGCCTCTCCCTGCACAAGACAGGACCTGTTTCCCATCATTCTGGAGCCTTTTGAGCCTCCATGAATGCAGGGTTGCTGTAAAACATGTAGAGACCAAACCCACTCAAATGTAACCCTCTATTACTGCCTTACTCTCAAATCACCAACAACCTTAGGATCATCTCTCCCTACAAGACTTAAATCTGCAGCTAAGACATCACTTGCAAAAGTTGATAAATGCACACAGGTGCTCTCTGACTGCAAATTCAACTGCTTTACGAGGCAAAATGCAAAAGCTGTCAGGAAAAACAAGACAATAAAGTACAGATGCTTGACATTTAACAAAGATTGTAACCTACAAATGTTAACTTTCCTTTATTTGTTCTGTATTTAGTAGAGTATACAACACAAACCTGTACAAAAGCCACGCAAAAAAGCCGTCAAGTTGTCCAGGACTGTTGGTTGGTTCAGTAATTCCCGCCAGCCGATCCATCCCTGCTGTGTCTGATGTCAGTCTGTTTACCTGCACCAGGTACACGCATTTTTGTCCCCCGCGTCAACCAATAGCGATGCAGCAGTAGAGTTAAACCCCACCCCTTTTCTGCCTTGAATCCAGTCCACACCCTAATATAGCCCTCTTTAGGAACTGAATGGTAAAAACCCTCTCCTCCCCCAAATAAAAAAACGTTTACGAAACATCATGATGTGAATCACCACATCCCCGTGTGCAACATGCACACATGTGTACTAATGCAGGAGAAAAATGACAACTGATATAGTAATACATGCAAACAGTGTCAACAAGCACAATTTAAGAAAACATCAACCTCCCAAATCAATACTAAATCCTTTTATAATGATACATAAAAGCATTTTGAAAGCAGAGTGAACCTCTTTACGTCTGAGTTATCAATTTAATCCATTCACCTTGAAAGTTATTCTAGTTATTAATCCCATAAAATCTCTCTGATGTTGTTTTTTCTTCCAGTTAAGATAAATTCAGGCTGACTGTGGAGACTGGAAACGTTGGGGCTTATTACTGTGGTGAAAATGTATCAGTAATAAACACATCCGGGGGTACTTTCAAAACCCACTTTTTATGGAAATGACAGAAGTAATAAGCCCTTTTTAGGTTTGCTGATACCGTCTTTGCCTTTCCATCAAAGGGATGTTTCTTCAGGCTTGTTGTTCAGAGGATTTATTCCCTGTTTGAGTGAAGCTACTGATGGAGGACGGCTAGAAAAACTATGCTTTTAAGTAAATTGGCTCTTTTTTTCTGAAGTGCAGGACTGAGTGTTAAAATAATGCAAATGGTAGAAGTGGTTTTATTTCAGTGCAGTCCATTTGGCGCCTTTATTTTGAATTATGTAAAGGCACTTGCTCTAAACTTTACCTCAGAATATCTGCCATGAGGTGACATGTGAGGTGATATTTTGTTGCACTCCTAGTTAGACTTGTATGTGTGTGACCCCATTTCTTGCATCCGCCCAGTTTAACTGATTCCCTCAGACAGGGAACACGCACGGTCGTGTTTCAGCCTGCCTGGAATGCTGCGCTGCACGTAAGCATGGAGCTCTGTATTCAAGTTGGTGAGAATACGTCTTACAGAGTTAAGGTGCAACTTTGGCCTTATTGCCAGGACGAACACTTTACTTCTTGATTCATCCTGATTAAGTCCTATTTTGTAGGAACGGCTGTGATGCTGGTTTAATATCCACATAAATCGGCAGGCTCCGTGGTTTAATGCTTGGCTTTATAGCTGACAGCCTGATTTCACAAGACAATCTAGTGGCAACATATTAAAGGGATGGTTTGACATATTGGGAAATACTTCTTATTTGTTTCTGAGGGATGAGAAGATCAATATCACTCTATTTGTAGCTACAGCTAGACTGAGGCAACCAAAGGTAGCAAAGCTCTGAAGCTCACTAATTAAAATGTCATATCTTTTATCTGAAAAAAACTGATGTGTACAAATATAATGAGCCAGGCTAAATGTTTCCCCCTCTTTCCAATTTCTGAGCTAAAGCGCTGCTGGCTGTAGTTTCACATTTACTGAAAAGACATGCAGCATTGATCTTCCCATCTAACTCTCAGCAAGAGAGCAAACAAAATCATTTTCTTCAAATTGTCAAACTATTAATTTAAATGTTATCCACTATTTGTATATTATAGAAACATTACAAGAAACAGCCTCGTTTAATTCAGTTAGTCAACTCTAAGGAGAGCAAATATAAAATTGAGGCGTAGAGAAAAGCTGCATTTTTCATAAAGGACAAAAAGACTGAACAGTGAAACTACCTTTACAATGTCTGCATAATCCCTGACAGGGAGGATGTATGGCAGAGTACGCCCATTCCCAGCGTACCAGCGAGGATATGGACCACACTGAAGGAGGGTGGGGTGTGTGGGGGGGAAGTCTCTGAGGCCCCAGGGCAAAAGCTTGCTGCAACTCCACCGCTCTCAGGTTAGATATGCACCGCTGTGCCAAGACTTGAAAGACATTCAAGATGCACTGCACCCTATCCAGCAATGTATCGCAATATAAGGAAAAGGAAAAGAGAGGAAGGACTGGATAAGAAAAGGTTGGGATGCTGAGTTGGATTAAAAAAAACTCTTAAATCAGGCATGAAAATGTTATATGAACTTCTAAGAAAAGAAACTGAACAATCTTTCACCCTGAAAATGGGAGTGACAGTTTAAACTGTGTGAACTGAAAGCTGAGACCTGCCCCGACGTGAACCAAGGATCAGCATGTGCTACTTCAGTATGTGGATTATCATTTATCACTCGGGGTGATTTGGCTTTTGTTTTATCTTTATTCAGGTAGTCTCCCTGAGATCAAGATCCCTGTTTAAAGCAGAATATACATTTCAAGAGAGAAATACATGTGTATCAGGGAGGATCGGTCCTCACCAACATGTCAGTTGCAGAGATGTATTCTTTGATGAGCCGATCCCGTGTCCCTCAGGGACGCTGATTCATGCAGAATGATGTATGAATGCATAAATCCAGCGCCCAGGTTTTAATCTCTTTAAATGATTGCGGTTAAAAGGCAGGGCTTTTCGAACTGTGGTTTTTAAAGTTGAATTAAACTCCAGGAATACTAGTGAAGCCATCTGCAGCTGACTGCACAGCTCAGTCTTTCTTTCTTTTGAATAACATGTCTGAAAAATAAACCAAATGTAAAATTAAGCAATCCTTCTTCCCTTTTCTGAAGATCATGCAACACTGACATCAGGTCTCTTCATATGGTAATCACTCACAAACCTGCTCAGATATGGAGTATTTACCTATTCTACATCAGCACCTCCAAAGCTCACTTACTTACACATTATATTTGAATGTTTTAGACGTGTTAAACGGACAATTTTCAGATTCAAGTGGGGTTATGTGCCAATCACTTTCTCAGCTGGTGCAAGTAACTTCCTGGAGTCTTGTCTAAAATACTCTCTTTATAAATCTACTCGTCACTTTTACACCCATAACTGGGTTTTCAAAGTTGAATTAAACTTCAGGAATATGAAGCCATCTGCAACTGTCTGCTCAGTTCAATAGTTCCTTATTTTGAATGTAAAAAGCCTAAAAAGAACTAAAACAGATGCTAAGTTCAGCACTCCTTCTTCACTGAACAGTGAACACCTTTCTCTAAAATCATGTAACACAGACATTAGGTCTGTTCATACAGTAATTACCCACACACCTGCTCAGATTTGGAATATTTACATATTTTCTTCTAGTGAACATCTCCAACAGTCACTAATCAACACATTATACTGTATGTTGGTTGAATTATATATAGAAACGCTGTAGAAACAATAATTTGCGGTTTTAAGGGGGGTTTGGTGCCAGATTCTTTCTGCTGTGTGCAGTTTCTCCCTGGACTCTTGTAGTCTCCTCATCAAACCACACCTTGTCCTTTTTTTTACACCATGTTTTTAGTCTTTATGCTCAGCTAAGCTATGCTAATTAGCGGCTGGCTTTTTGACATGAGAGTGTTATCAATCCTCTTATCTTACGAAAAAGCCAAAAAGTGTATTTCTGTAAAATGTTGAATGGTAAATATCTGCAGTATAATTTCCCCAAATGGTGAATTTTCACAATGTTTAATTGGCTGTGAAATCAGCCAGTTGATCCAACAGAGACCTTTAGTCACAAAGAAACATAACCGTCTCGGTGTCAAACTCACACCGTAGCAGTAACAAGGACCCTGCCCTTTATCTTTCTCATCTTCCCCCCTAAATGCCACAAAGGTGGAATTTTCCACCAGCCACTTCCCTGAGTTGGCTGAGGAATGCAGACAAGATGGAGCAAGCCTGCAGAGAGCGGCATCTCTGCAGTAACAGCGTGTTGAGGTGCTTAGCTTGTGCACATCATGTCCACCTCTTTAATTCTCCCTTCAGGGGGGTTTGTTAAGCTATAACTCAAATATGCCCTGCAGCGCTGATAGATGCTACTGTTGCTGGTCATTGTCACAAGGATCCTGCAAGAAGAACATTTAGGAGCTCAGCCTCTTATTTTTTTCCATTTAATGAAGTCAGAATGTGGTTATCATCTATTTTGCTTTAGCAGATTGACACATAATTAATTTAAATGCATTGCTCAATTTGTTTATCCACCTGAGGAAGTCTCACAAAGGGCCCTAAACGCAGCAAGATGTTTTTAATACGACTCTAACTCCAAAGCTGCTGGAGACATTTACGAGTGCTCTATTAAACAGGCTTAGATTGCTATCTGTGCCTCAGAGCAACAGACCTTGTAAAATGATACAACGTGGGCATGTGCCGACACAACAGCCACACATATCTCATCCTGCTAGCACCACCCTTACACAGGTGAAGGGAATGCAGAATAAAGTGAGGAGAACACGACAAGCACATTGTGCCCCTTGTGTTAGAGTGTGAGAACATCCAGTTTTCACATATTGTATATCCATATACAGAGCACATCAATGAATCACAGTCTTACTCTGTTAATGGGATGTATACAAGATGACAAATTGCCCGGGGTGGGGATTTGTTAGCATGAAATGATAGGCAGCGTAACTTTACCATACTTTAAAAAATGGAGTCTCTGTGCTTTTTCAGAATAAGTGGTGTCACTCTACCCACTTAAAGCTGAATAATAGATCTGATGGATCCTCTGTGCATCGTACAGCTGCCGCCAGAGTAATTACAAAAGACACATACCACATCACAGTTTGTAGCAGGCGATGAGTCACAGTATCATACACTTCAACTTTACTTTCCAGGGTCTGCGGATGTGGACCACCTTCCTCTGACAGGTGTTGTTGCAGCAGCATCATTGTGCTGCTAAAGGCCAACATGTCCAAACCAAAATGTCTATTTGGGAGCTGGGAGGACATTTTGGGAGAATTTGTTGTTGTAAAACAAACTAAGGTTGTGTACCTTCAAGTGTTGGGAAATGGGGCAGGAAAGGGTGCCACCTGTTGATTCTTCATGGTACTGCAACAAAGGGGCAAATTGAATAAAGCCACTGCAGCGCCGATA